AACACGAAAACCTTACGTTTTGTTACCAAAATAGTTTTTCAAAACATGTGTTCAGACTACCTATTAAAAAACTTAACAATAAGAATGATTATTATTAAGTATTAATAACAATCTCAGATTTATTCATGGTGTTTTATAACTACACAGTATAGGTGGTAATCCCATATGAAGTACAAACGTTGTACAATAACAACTAATATAGTTGAATATAAATATTGTATTAAAAAAACGGTATTCATATTATTATGTGCTTACTTTTGAGCTCCAAACCCTCTCTAGTACATGGTCCTTGGTTCATAACACAGTTGAAAAGTATTTTTATAATTCGTTCATTATTCATTACAGCTTCAATATCAATGAAATCGTATCGAGTTGGATATGATGACGTTTCCCTGGTGGTCTTACGTCCATCGGTGGTTGGTGACACGCTGTTGTTCACACTCTGAAAACTTTGGCCGAACCGAGTTKCGATCGCAGCTTGTTCGTTCTGAGATGCGTTCGTAGGCTGTCCGAACCTAGGTGCGATCGTTGGCTGTCCGAACCTAGGTGCGATCGTTGGCTGTCCGAACCTAGGTGCGATCGTTTGCTGTCCGAACCTAGGTGCGATCGTACTCTGCCCAATCCGATTTGCGATCGTAGCCGGTTGCTCAAATCGCTTGACTTGGGTGATCGCAGCTGGCTGATCAATTCGCTTTGAAAATTGAGTGTCACACATCATGGTTATATAACAAAAAATCGCTAGCAAATTCATGTGTGCTGTTGTAGTCACATTAAATCGTCTACGATACCGAACAAATAAACACAAACGTTTATCAATTTATTTTTTATTTTATTTTATTAGACCAATTTGTACACGTATAAAATTCTTACGACTGTTTACCGTGGGATTTAATATAAAAGTAACGGATCGACCGATGTTTAACCGATTCGCACTTAAGAACGTCTGTTGTTGTTGGACTCGAAACGGAAACGTAGTAAAAAAAAAAAAAAACGTGCACATCTCAAGGGCACCGTCATCCTGCGCAAACATGGACGCCAGATTGCTGTTTTTAATTTTACCCGCTCATCTCCCGACGTTATAGCGATAACTATCATTAATAATTATATATTAACTTCTACTTTGTGTCTTTGTTCGCAAGCCATTCACAATTCACAAATATTTAGTTCAATCTATATTGAATAATTTGAATCCATGAATGGCATTAAAAAAATTATATTTATTAATATATTAAAACTTCACAAAAACTGTTAAGTATTGATTTTGTGATCGACATTTTAAATGAAACCTTGACGTAGTGGATGRCCTAGGTTTCCGCTTAATTGATTCTTCATAAGTCATAACATTTTGTCATTTTTAAAAACAAATACTTTAAATAGGTTTAAATGTTTATGATGATATAAAAAACATTTGAAATTCGATCTCAGCATAAATATATATTTATTAACTTATGATGAGTTAATAGTTATATATGATACGTTAAAATTATCAATCATATATAATTAAATTACTTTTATTTTAAATAACAATTTT